CCGCCGTTGGGGGGCTGGAACCCGCGCGGCGTCCTGACGTCACCGGAGGCCGACCTGGCCGCAGCGGCCAGCGTGCCTGCGCTCCCCGGCGCACGCTGAGAGCCGAGCGGGGCGGGGCCGGGCAGGAGAGGCGAGGCTCCCCGGCGGGGCGGGGTCGATCGCCGGCGCCGGGCCCGGGTGAGCCGCCTCTCAGCTTTGGCAGTCATTCAGGAGGACTTCCACCTGGCCTTCCCGCGCTTCGCTGTCGAATTACAGGGCACCTGCACCCAGAGCTAGCTTCTCTCCACTGCTGTTCCCAGTCGTCCGAGCCCAGCCCGCCACTGTGATGTTCCTTTCCTAACCCTCCGCCAGGGCGCTGGGTCTAAATTGGCGGAACGCTGGGCTCACTTGGAGGGGTTTTGTTGGGCTCATTCGCAGATTCTGATTCACTGGAATAGGCTGTGGCCTGTGTAGTGGGCGTTCGAAATCTCCCCGGTGATCCTAATGTGCGGTACGGTTTGGAACCATCTGGCTCCATCTGTGCTGCTCACGCTGAAGGGGCATAGGAATCTTCTGGGAGAGCTTGTAACAATGCAGACTAGAACTGGACAGCTCTGGAATGAAGCAAGCTTGCGCATCTCTGATCAGCCCTCAGGCTATGCCTGATGCCTCTGGTAGGCATAGGCGTAGGGCAGGAGGGCACTTTTGGTAGCTAGGTTACAGGACGCCCTACTGCGGTGAACCCTCCTAACGTCTCCAGCCCCAAGCCGCCTCCCACTGGTCTCAACCCCTTCTTCACATCGTGTCTATGGTGATTCTTCTTAAACAGTATAAACAAGAAATCTTTGAAAAGCCAACTTGGGGGAACCAGCAGTTAGTGCAATGCCTATGTCGCTGGACTCCCGTGTAGTCGACCATGGTTCGAGTCCCGGCCCGGTGGCTTAAACTCACGCCAGGCGCATGTGTGTGCGTGCCCAAGATCCCTGGAGGAGATCGGCTTTCTGTCTCTGTCATTCTGGAGAGCGCACCCGCCCTATAGCGAAAACCTAAAAACAAACAAACAAAAAACAAAACAAACAAGAAAAGCCAACTTGGGAAAACTATAGTACAAAGCTATTTAACGCTCACCAAAATTTTTCTAAGATTCATGTAAAAAGTTACATAAATGCTTCGAAGTGTCGTGTATACATTTGAAACACTGGAAATAAACCCAAAACATTAAATAATTGGTTACTTGTTTCCATTAAGAAGCACTGTCTAGTATATAAGAAAGCTAAATCGTGTAATCTCTGGAAAAACTCCACTATGTATTTAGGAGATGAAAGGTTGGTTTGTGAGAACGTTTTCGTGAGATGTGTTTAGTATAGCAGCAAAGCAAGACAAAACAGAACGAATCCCCCTAAAATATGGTTTCAACTGTGTAGAAAAAAATGTATAGGAAAATAGGAAATCTAAATCTTTATGGAGGGATTTTCTTTTTGACTTCTCATTTTTACATATTTTACCATTTTTCTATAATGGGCATCCCATTATACCTTGCTAATAAGGAATACAGGGTCCTAGCCAGTTTGATAACATAGAAGGGCATGCTTGCTAGGATTACTCTTACAGATTTTTCCACCTTGAATAGACTTCCTGCCTTTCCACGGGCTGTTCTCCCTCTCCCTGCTCTGTATCCCCCATGGCCACCTGCATACCCTCAGAACACGCCGAGTGAGCATCCATCTCCACTCAGCATTTCTGCTCTTTTTTTCTACTGGCCACTCTTGACTCTTTTTAGCTCTTTCCTCTACTCAACTTAAATGTTGCAGTTCTCAGTGCTTGGTCCTGGGACATTTCTCTTCTGCCCCTTCCCAGCTAACTGCCTCAGTTCCCAAGGATTTAAACATTACCTTTACACGTGATTCTCAACTTTTTGTCTCCAGCCCTGACCTTTGCCATTAATACCAGTCTTGAATATCAACAGTGTCTAATGGACATATCTACTTATGTGTTACACAAATATCTCAAATTGAATCTTCAAAACTATTCCAATTGAACACTCAAAATTGAACATTCAAAACTACCCTTGGCCTTTTTGCCCCCAGATTTTGTCCCTTGTACTCTAGGCTCCACAGACTTCATCTCAATATAGTGGTAATACCATCTCAGGTATTTAAGATGAAAATCTAGGAGTTATTGTGATTCACCCTGTCCTCACTATCTAAATTAATTCTATTAGCAAGTCATGTGAACATTACCTGCAAAGTATACCTTGATTCTCTCTTCTTCTCTCCCTCTCTACTGCTATTAGTTTCGTCCACTATTCTCAAGTCCTGCAGAAATCTAACTGGTTTCACTCCCACTACTGGTTCCCCCCCTCATCCATTTTCCATGCAGCTGAGTAAGTGAACTTCAGAAAACAAGATGAAGGCCAGATAGTGGCACAGTAGGCCGACCCACACAGGATGGTACTGGGTTCGCCTTGGAGAACTCTCTGAGTGTGCTGGGCATGCATATGCCTATGATCCAGGGCTTGCTAAAGTGGGGGTGGATCAGAGAGTCAAGACCTAGTTGGGAATACTGTCTCTCTCACTCACTCACGGAAGAAATAAAAACTAAAAACAGAACAACTGACCAAAAATTCAACACATCTAAAATAAAAGCCAAATCTTCTAAAAGTCCACAGGGCATCCTGTGACTAGAACTCTCTAACATTACTTTGTGCTACTCACCCCTTTGCTCATTACTGTCTGGAACTTTCTGTTTTGTTATGTTTTAATGTTGCTAGAGGTGCATATGGTCGTCAGAGAGAGAGAGAAAATAAAAAAGCACACAAGCACACATGCTGAGTATGTTTACAAGCTGCAGAGGCTCAGATCATGCGGTCGGCCATATGGGGCCTAGCCACCCTAAATCCCATGCCACTGGCTGGCCTCAGGAATTTTTATTGTGTATCTCTGTGTGCCATACACCTAAGTGTTAGGATTCTAACAGTGGATGAGAAAGACAAAAACCTCATCTTCATAGTGAGAAAAACAGATAATAAACAAGCAAGTAAAGAATTAATGTAAAGAGTCTCTTAAGTTATTTTCCAGTTCAGAGGATAAGTCCCTTAAGGTGCCTCTTCAGTTGAGTATTAGTTTAAATGCTACTTCTTTTTTGGGGGGAGAGGTTTTTGCTATAGGGCGCGTGTGCTCACCAGACAGACAGAGAGAGACAGAGAGACAGAAAGCGAGAAATCACCCCCCAGGGCGGATGGCCATGTCGCAATCCCTTGTCCTCCATTCTCCTCTTGGGTTCTTGGGCATGCACGCACACACGCCCCACGTGAGTTTAAGCCACCGGGTCCGGGACGCGAACCACAGTTGACTACATGGGAGTCCAGTGACATAGCCATTACGCTAACAGCTGGTCCCTAAATGCTACTTCTTTTTTGGGGGGAGAGGCTTTTGCTATAGGGCGCGTGTGCTCACCAGACAGACAGAGAGAGACAGAGAGACAGAAAGCGAGAAATCACCCCCCAGGGCGGATGGCCATGTCGCAATCCCTTGTCCTCCATTCTCCTCTTGGGTTCTTGGGCATGCACGCACACACGCCCCACGTGAGTTTAAGCCACCGGGTCCGGGACGCGAACCACAGTTGACTACATGGGAGTCCAGTGACATAGCCATTACGCTAACAGCTGGTCCCTAAATGCTACTTCTTTTTTGGGGGGAGAGGCTTTTGCTATAGGGCGCGTGTGCTCACCAGACAGACAGAGAGAGACAGAGAGACAGAAAGCGAGAAATCACCCCCCAGGGCGGATGGCCATGTCGCAATCCCTTGTCCTCCATTCTCCTCTTGGGTTCTTGGGCATGCACGCACACACGCCCCACGTGAGTTTAAGCCACCGGGTCCGGGACGCGAACCACAGTTGACTACATGGGAGTCCAGTGACATAGCCATTACGCTAACAGCTGGTCCCTAAATGCTACTTCTTCAAGGAGGCTTCCCGTGGTCACCTATCAGAAGTAAGTAACTCATTCTTGATCTTGTCATTGCATCCTTAGTAAAACTCATAATCGTCTTTTTTTTTTTTTCTGGTCTTGATCAAGCTCAATAATATTCAGAATAAATGTATTATTTTATAAATCAAATGTTTCATTACTCTAGACAGAATCCCTTCTATTCTAGGGCATAAATCAGGCTTTGTCTCTTTTTTATTTTTGGAGAGTTTTTTGCTATAGGGCGCGTGCACTCAAAGACAGAGAGAGACAGAGAGATAGAAAGTGAAAAATCACTCCCCAGGAGATGGTCACACTGCAATCCCTTCTCCTCCATTCTCCTCTTGGGTTCTTGGGCATGCACGCACACACGCCCCACGTGAGTTTAAGTCACCGGGTCTGGGATTTGAACCATTGTCAGCTACATGGGAGTTCAGCAAC